GGGGGGGGGGGAATGTTGCCCCAGAGTATTAATTGCATAAATCCTTTCCCCAGGTGGTATCCAATTAATTATTCAGAGTGAGTATGGTAATTTTACCGAGTCTATCAGTTTTAATGCAGTATTAAGGCTCAATTTGAATTGCAAAGTTTCATAAGCACTGAAATCACTAACTTAACAAAACCTTGGAATTGGATTATTTTATACCAGGGAAAGCATGCATTTTTCCTTAGAGTTACTCAATATTTTTCAGTTTTAACATTACTTTCACTATGCTTTAGTTTAAATTTTGATAATTAAAATATTAAATTAACTCTGATATTACCATTGTTGTCTCTTGAATGGATCCAAAACTGTTGATAAAAATGTTGACTACGACATCAACAGGAATGCCTGTGAATAAAAATTAAGGATATATTTAGTAGCTATAAAAAACTTGGTCAGAATCTACATATTTCATAGTTTATGCATTTGGTTTTCATATTTGTCCCAATCCACCTGTGATGTAAAATTATAAATCAATGGTCTTGGTATGCTATCTTCACAATTACTATATTAACTTATTTTTCTAAATAAGGATCATAACGAAAATAAAAAATGAGTTAAATTATATTTTATAATGTTATTTTTTTCAGAAATATTTATCTGTTAAATTGTAAAGACTCTGAGAAAATACATTTATCTTTCAAAAATTGGGTTGATGCATACTCTAAGAAAATGTAAATTGTTCTTTACTAAACATCACTTAAAAATATGGTTTAATTTTTTGAATTTGTATAATCATCTGAAGTTCTTACTTGAGTTGGTATAGCAATATTCAATAAATTGCACTTACAATTACTAGATTTTTCTTTCTAATTCATGCAATTGCAAAGTTAATCAGACATATAACAGAGTCATTATAAAGATTTTGCCTGACCTTTTGGAAAGTAATTTGAAAGTTCACGGAGTGAGAACTAAGGTATAATGTTGCAAATTTCTTTCTTGTTTTTTTTTCTTTACTCATTGTGGGCTGCTGGTTGGACTAACAAAGGGAAAATGTGAATTTAGCCTTTCAGCCACATAACCACTGACTGATGAAAAACAGGTGGCGAATCAATATATAGTAGACATGTGACAATCCAGACCATGGCCGTTGTTGAAAGTAACTGAATAGGTTCTGGTAATGAACAAAAAACCCTGTTTTTACAACATAGTTGTATAACTTCAGTTGACTAGAAGCAGCTGCAGACTTTTTTTTTTTCTGTGAAGGAAAAAAATCAAGCTTTATAATGTTAATCTGATCTACATTAATACCTGTCTTTAGGATTACAGTTTTCCAGAGGAGGTTTTTTCATATAGCTTTTCCTAACTCATCAAGAGGACAAAAAAAAAAAAAGTAAAAGAAAAAAAAAAGTTTGCTCAACTATACAATCTTCTCATGACTTTTATATAGCAAGTATGGATTTTGTTCTTGAAAGGTGTGATAAACGGTAGCATTTTGTTGGAATAAAATCAGTCTGTTGTAGAAAACAGCCACTTTTATTCACACAAGTTAATGTGTTTTTAAAAACCATATGGCCATTTTTTAAATTTTTTCAGCAAAAGAGCAGAGGAAATTTTTTTATCAGTGTGAAAGGCTAGAAAAAAAAAAAAAAAAAGCATCTAAATACAAATCTGAACTGTTCTCTATCCCTAAATGAGTATATGGACACTTTCCTACAAACTATAACTTTGCTGTCTGTGAATGAAAGCCAGCTCTGTAGCCAGAGCCTAGATTTTTAATCACTAAGGTTAAGAATACTAAGTACTCATTATAAAGGTTAGCCTATTGATTCACAATACACCCTTTTATAAAAACTAAGAAACATATAAAACTATTAGAATTACTATTTTGCTTATTTTTTTAAACATGCTTAGCATTAAATTAGTCTGGATCTAAGTACATTATGGGACAGTTACATATCAATTTGAAATCCTATTGTTTTTTAATATTACAACTGAATGATTTCATACAGATAAAATTAATTTTTAAACTGCAAAGAATGAAGATAGTTGAGGGTGAAAAACAAACCTTTGAAATTTGGTCTTATCCTGGGATCATAACTGACCAGGAGCCTATTCAAGATATTGCTAGTGGAGTTGGCAGGGACTCGGGCAAGGTCCTCTGCTGACTGCTGGCTATAAGAGAAAAAAAAAAAACAAAATCCTAATGAGTATTTAGAAATGGCAATCAACAGGAATGGGTAATTTTAACTGGAGAAAAGACTTGGCTTCTTGAGACTAATCTACAGTTACAGCATGGCGTCTCCGAAGAGGTAAATGAGAAGTAGTAGACATTGTCAGTAGGTCGAAATATATGTGCCATGAGAAATAAAACCAACAAAAAGGTATTTTAGCACTTCAGTTTACCAAATGAATGAAAAACTGTCCTAAATACTCAAGCTTTCTTTTAAGTAAAATTAAGCAGACATCTTACTTGTCCTGAAGCAACCTGCATTTGAAATCTCGAGGAGCACAAGGGGAGTGCAGACAGTGAGATAACAGCAAAACAACAGTTTTTGAGCAATGAAGTGTAATATTAACCTTTTGCCTAAGCAAAGGAGTATATGAATACCATAAAATAAGATGGCCAGAGAGTCTAAGAATTAAAAAAAAAATCATGCTGATATTTATAAAATGATACTGCCCATGAAATACACAATGAATGTTCTCATCCAGTTAAATATGTTGGAAGGGGAGGAAACCTCATTTAAAACGGAGTCGAGAAGCCCTGCAGGGGGAGCTCTCCCGCAAGCACGACTGCTTGCCCTACAAAACCAGCAGGACGGAGGGAGAACATTTTTCACACAGGAACTTGATCTGCTTTTATGAAAAAGAAGGAAGATCTCTCCTTACCCCAGCGGCAATGCGCTAACCACCCCTTGCAGCCTATGAAAAACCACCTCAAACTTTTGTTCTACAATAAACAACCCTCCCCGATTTCCTCCTAAAACCTAACAACAAAAAAAAAGCTAACCTTCCCTTTGTCTTTTTGGACTTGCCTGTGGTTCACCATAGCTCCCTTGTCCCAAACTGCAATTCTCTGCTATTCCCAAATAAATTCAATTGCCAGTAAAATAACTGGCTGTTTTTATTTTTGAGGATGACAAGGCAAATTGGTAAAAGAAGTTTCTCTGTTATCAAATCAATTAAACAGGAAAAATACAGAGCTATTAGATACAACTATCTCTATTATCTGTTTGCTGTCAACTATTACAGAGGGAAAACTGCTATATTTTTTTTTACTTCAATTAACTTTGAACAATGAATCTTGACTAAATTGATAGTTGCTTGGCAATACTTAAAAACACACACACGTCCTTGGAAGCCATTAGAAAATGTTTGGTTATTATTTGTTTGGGTTTGTTTTACCACCTATGAAGTCTTATTATATAATCATTTTCTCAATACAAAGAAAAAAATCCATGAGAATCACAAGAAAAATTAAAACTATATCTGGAGAATCTAGCACTGTCCATTCTGTATTGTTATGGTAAAATGTCAATTTCATAGATAATATTAATTTGTGTAAATCAAAGTTGGATGTATAGGCCATGGCTTTGTTTTGAAATCCCAGCTTTTATCTATCAGGCAATTCTGTTCTGAGTCATCATACAATCTGCTGATAAGATACAACCACTAGAGGCAAGATAGGACCAATATTAAGAAATTTATGAAAACTCTAATATGAATTGATACAACCTTTCTCAAGTAGCTATCAAACAGAGTCCAAAACATTGAAGAAAAAATGAAAATCAATTGGTTAAACCTCCTAAAGTTGCAGGAGATTATAGAGTATTTTAAAATTGTTTCTTATGGTCTTATCAGCTCCAATACCACAGTTGCAGAGTAGGGACTGGTAATAAGATTTCATTTCATTGTATGTGAAATTGTAACCTCTTTAAAGCCAACTGTCATCCCTTATCGAGGATAGAAAACTCTAAAGAGAATGAGGGTATGTGGGAAAATTGGATATTAGGATGCAAATTAGTGTTCAAACCCATTTACAAGGTTTCTTATTGATGGGATGAAAATAAAATTGATTAATTACAAAGCACACCTGTACTGATTTAATTAAGGAATGCCATTACTGTGCCTCTTGATATAAAATCTTTCACAAGTATCTCCCTTCTAAGTAACGAAAAGGCAAGACAACATAAAGATAACTAACACTAGTTCTTGCAGTAGAGAACTTTCCAGCCTGATTTTTTTCCTTCTAGCTGTGAAGAGTGGCAGAATACGCCACCCTACAATATATCCCTTTGGCACAAGGATTATTTTGAGCTAAAGGCATTTGCAAAACAGCAAATTCAGGGAGAGGCCTTTTCTGAACTCCCCTTATCTGCCTAAAAACAGATCCTCCAAAAGGAACTCAATCGTCACAGATCCCCTCCTAAGAGTTTCACCAACTAGGAAAGACTGACTTTTATCACAGGAGAGGAAACTAGAAGTGGACACCACACCAGACAAACTTTGTCATAAACTATCATATTTTCCTATGTTTTACTAGGCCATTCATCTTTCCTAAAAATCATTTATTCTCCCTTAAGTGGCCTACATCCCTCTTCCCTTCCCCCTATTAAGATGACATATAAGCTCTCAAATCTCACTACTTTTTGGGTATTCAAATTTTTTGCTGTGATGCCCCTGTGCATATTTAATGTAATATTAAAAATTAATAAGTTTGAATACCTTTTCTCCTGCTAATTTGCCTATTTCCAGTTTAACACCTTGCTGATTGGTCACAAGTTAACTCAGGTCTGCATTTACATTAATTTAAGTAATTTTAAGGTCTGAAAGCAATGCAGAGTTTTAGAAGAGACTCTAGACTGTTTTCTTAGTTATCTTTGTTTAGGCTCAGATTATAAGAGGTGCAAGACACGAGCCACTTCATCGCTCAGCACTTATTTTGGCACTCCCTATAAATATATAACAAAATAAAGTATATTTAAGTTTATTCAGATGCTTTCATTTAATACTCAAGTGGGGAAAAGTAGCCGGCTACACAGGCAAGTTCTGGTTCAAAAGAGCAGGTCAGCAATTAATAGATGCAGCTCTAAGCTCTGAGCTGTGTCAATCAAACTCATTTTCTAGCTGTTTTAACTCACTACCAATTGTGTCCTTCCTCCATTCACTGGCTCAGACTAAATCCCCCTTCCTGGGATATTATAACTTCCACTCCTTATTGTACTAATCTAAACCCAAGATTGACTTTCTAAAATCTTGCCTCAATCATTCGCCTTACTCTAATGAAGACGAATTGATAAACATACCTTGGCAATTATTGTATTGCTTTTCTTATCTTCATGTATCTTACCAACAAGACTGGATGTAGACAGTACAATTCTTGAGGGAATCACGGCTTCTACATTTTTGTAATAACCCTGTACAGCTTATATAGTATCAAACACACATCAGGTTTAAGCCCTTCCCATCTGCCAGCTCTTTTAGTAGACTTCAGCCTCCAGATAGCTGTGTGTGCTGCATGTAGCAGTTACACTCATTTCCAGATAAAGAAGAGCATTTCTGCCTGTGGTGTCCTCTTAGGAGGGAGGATTTTTTTTCTCAGAAGTTTTCCAGCATTGGATGTCACTGAACCATTCACTGGCCAGGAGGAAGAAACAACTGTGATTGGCTCAGATCATAGTCTGGTGTGAAATAGAGATTGGAGAATGAACCATCTTTTCCATTACACTCTTTTATTTGATAATCACAAATGCTTGGTTAAGTAGGAGAGATATTAGCCACACAGAGAGCTGTTTTCCAGCGAAGAGAAAGAGAAAAGCCAGATTGGTAGGAAAGGGAACAAGTAGGTGAGTATGTGGTATCGGTGGACATGAAGGCACAGTAATGTTAAGACAGTTTTCTTAAGTAGTAGAGTCAAGAATGAAACCTGATAATCCAGATTCCTAGTTATCATTGGACCACAAGCTTGCCATAATGAAATATTATCTATCTTCTTATTACCATCCATTCATACATTGCTTTATATTGCTTTAGGACAATAATCTATATTATATTTCACCTTTAATGATTTTTAAAATCATTAGTCCTGAAAAATCTGAATTTGCCCTTTTGTACTTATTAGTGTCATTCTTCCCTCTAGCCATCTCCAAATGCTTGTATTTCTCTCCAAAGCAAAAAATAAAATAAAAATAACATTTATTTGTTAACAACAAAATCTCAAAGTTGGTTGACAAAAAAATCTCTTGAAATAAAAAAAGGGAACATACCAAATATGCTATAGCCCCTTTTATTTTTATTTGTGTCAATATGTATGTTTGTGTCTCTGATGCAGGTAACCTGATACAAATATTTATATTAACATTTCAGAGACATTTCAAAACTTAAGTGAAATCCCATGTAGTTTATATTCACATGCATAAATTTAGGGATTTTCATGCCTTAAAAATCATATATTTTGCATAGTCAATACTAAAATAACTTTAAAGTCATCTCTAAACATTAAAAAAACATTTTAAGTGCCTAGATACCTATGCCACTGTCTTCCAAAGAGCTGAAACAATTTCCATGTAGCATATTTTCCTATATCTGCACTTTACTATATATAACCTTTAATTTGGAAAGATACCAGCATTATTTATACAAAATAAGCGTGAATAAGGAGAGTTAAATGATTTTAACAAGGTCACATACTTAATGCCTTTCACTATTAGAGTCTTCATATTCTGAATCTCAGTCCAATGTTTTATCCATCTGAATATGCCATTTTGTTTTATTTCGAGAAATCTATCAACAATCATGATATTATTGCAAAACAGGATTTATTTCATGAAAATGTGATATTAATTTAAGAAAATAACTTACTCTACTCAGGCAACGTGATCAAATGACTAGAAAATATAATGTTTTATATCAAAAGCTTTTTTACAACCAGTCCTCTTTTGTTCACTTGCCTAAACTTGAACCAATTTCATTACTAATATGCAAGGTTATGCAAGGAATGCATCGGGTTGTATAGCTGTATGATGTAATGTTTTCCAGCGCTAAAGGAAAAATCCAGAAATTTCTTTGCAAAGGGGAAAGCTCAGTTTTCCATTAACACGACCCTTTAGTGACCACACTGCACAGTTTCATTTCAGAACTGGTGTGTATGAGTATATGGTCTTAATGTCCTC